AGTGGTTGGCAGTCGGGTTCCAGGGGTGGTCAGCGGATGGTCGGTGGTGGCCAGCAGATGTCAGGGGATGGTTGGTGGCCAGCAGTGGTCAGCAGATGGTCAGCAGATGGTCGGTGGTGGCCAGTGGTGGTTGGTGGTGGCCATCAGCTGGTCGGTGGTGACCAGCAGTGGTTGGCAGTTGGGTTCCAGGGGTGGTCAGCGGATGGTCGGTGGTGGCCAGCAGATGTCAGGGGATGGTTGGTGGCCAGCAGCTGGTGGCCAGCGGTGCTCAGTAGGCGTGGTTGGACACGAACAGGGACTCGCTGGCCGCCGCCCCCGCGGTGCCACTCGGGGTGTACTTGCCCTGGCACGCCAGCGAGTTGGCCTGGGGACATCGGGGACATGGGGGACATCAGGGGGGGTTTGGGGACATCAGGGGCTCCAGTGTCCCCAGTGTCCCTGAGGTGTCCCCAGTGTCACCTACCAGGGCTCTCCTGACCTTCTCCTCGTGGGCCACCTTGGTGTTGTCCCTGTCCTTGTGTCCCCAATGGCCACAACCCCAACGCTTCTCCTGCCACCCCAACGACCCCGAGGTGTCTGTGAGGTGTCCCCAAGGTGTCCCCATCTCACCTACCAGGGTTCTCCTGACCTTCTCCTCCTGGGCCACCTTGGTGTTGTCCCTGTCCTTGTGTCCCCAATGGCCACAACCCCAACATTTCTCCTGCCACCCCAATGACCCCAAGGTGTCCCCAATGTCCCCATGTCACCTACCAGGGTTCTCTCAACGTTCTCCTCCTGGGCCACCTTGCTGTGGTCTCCCTGCCCTTGTGTCTCCATGGGTCACTCCTCAACTCTCTCCTGCCACCCCAACGAATCCGAGGTGTCCCCAATGTCCCCGAGGTGTCCCCAATGTCACCTACCAGGGCTCTCCTGACCTTCTCCTCCTGGGCCACCTTGGTGTGATCCTTGTCCTTGTGCCCCCAAGGTGTCCCCAGTGTCCCCAACGCTTCTCCTGCCACCCCAATGACCCCAAGGTGTCTGTGAGGTGTCCCCAAGGTGTCCCCAATGTCACCTACCAGGGCCCTCTTGATGTTCTCCTCCTGGGCCACCTTGGTGTTGTTCCTGTCCTTGTGTCCCCAATGGCCACAACCCCAACGCTTCTCCTGCCACCCCAATGACCCCAAGGTGTCCCCAATGTCCCCATGTCACCTACCAGGGCTCTCTCAATGTTCTCCTCCTGGGCCACCTTGGTGTTGTCCCTGTCCTTGTATCCCCAAGGTGTCCCCAACGTCCCCAAGATCCCTCAACGTCCCCATGTCCTCTGAATGTCCCCCATGGTGTTCCCAATGTCCCCATGGCTTCTCCTGCCACCCCAACGACCCCGAGGTGTCTGTGAGGTGTCCCCAATGTCCCCATCTCACCTACCAGGGCTCTCCTGACCTTCTCCTCCTGGGCCACCTTGCTGTGATCCTTGTCCTTGTGTCCCCAATGGCCACAACCCCAACGATTCTCCTGCCACCCTAATGACCCCAAGGTGTCTGTGAGGTGTCCCCAAGGTGTCCCCAATGTCCCCAATGTCACCTACCAGGGCTCTCTTGACGTTCTCCTCCTGGGCCACCTTGGTGTTGTCCCTGTCCTTGTGTCCCCAATGGCCACAACCCCAACGCTTCTCCTGCCACCCCAATGACCTCAATGTCCCTGAGATGTCCCCCATGTCCCCAATGTCCCCAATGTCACCTACCAGGGCCCTCTTGACGTACTCCTCCTGGGCCACCTTGGTGTTGTCCTTCTTGCCCGCCCAGGCCTTGAGGGCCGAGGCCTGCAGGGCGCGGCCGTAGGAGAAGGTCAGGGCCCAGGGCCGGGCCAGCGGGCAGCGGTTGATGGCGTTGAGGTTCAGAGAGGCCTCCTCCTCGC